CTTCTTTTAGTTATATAATGTCACCTGTCCCTTGTCCCTTGCGTCAGCTTTTCTTTTGAATTTATTTGTCTGATTTTATATACCCATGCCTGCTCTCTTTAAGATGGACTATCTTTTCCCATCCTTTTACTTTTAGCCTGTCCATGTCCTTAGATTTGTGAATTTTAACAGTTCTAGTTCTTCAACACTTTCAACTTCAGTGCCAGGTCTCGGCCACCTGAGCTCAGGTGCTTGCTGTGTCACTGCTTATCTGTTGACCTGAGCTGAGTTTCTCTGAGTGTCTCTGACGCGGTTTTCCCCTCTGTGCAACGGGAACGTGCACACCTGTGTCTGATGAGCTGTCACGTTGATGACAAGGCGATGCCTCTAAAGCGCTCAGACTAATGCATATCACAGAGGACGTGTTCAGATACCCTTAGTCGTTACTGTTGTTACTAACCATAATTTAAGATTCTGACCTTTCTTCAAATCTGCTCTGGACTTCGTCACCTCTAAAACACCACACACAATGTAGTTTATCTGGATATTGAATATGTCATTGTGTAGAATATAGTATCTGTGTAGACAACCCAGTGTTCAATTTTATTTGTATGTAGTTCGTGTATTGTCGACAAACGAAAACTCCACACTGATTGGAGGCATCATACTCCTATGAAAACAGAAGAAATGAGAGGTGCAGAAGTTGCCCCAGTGCCTTCACATGTCTCTGCCATACACGTATTCCAACTGAATTGATTATGACACCTCTCTCCTCTTCTTCACATTGTGTGCAAATAAAAAACCTATTCATGACCCTTTAGTGAATTGTGTTTTCATTTCAGGGACAGTTGACCTTCCAGGACGTGGCCATCGAGTTCTCCCAGGAGGAGTGGGAGTGCCTGGACGCTGCTCAGAGGGCCTTGTACAGGGACGTGATGTTGGAGACCTGCAGGAACCTGCTGTCCCTGGGTGAGAGGACTCCCCTTTAGAAGTTGGGATCTTCCCTTGGGTGTCTTTGCATTTTCCCTGTGTGCCTCCTGGGAGCCTCTGTTTTGCTTGACTGAACGGAAACGCCTGTTGACTCAGACGTGACAAGCTTCATGATGCGGTGTCAGGGGTTTAAACTTCACTTTCCTTCAGGTGATCTGCCCATTTCGCATTACGTCAGGGATTGTTCCAGAGCTAAAGTGTTTATAAAGCCCAATGGGAAACTTCTAAAACACCCAGTGTCCTGTTTTCTACTCCTGTGCTTTTGATTCACTAGTTCTAGGGCGAGAGCTGGATGCCTGCATATTATGCTGTTCTCTGTGCGTTCAGAAGGGGGCAGCATGGATGAAGCTGTCAGGTGTTTTTCTAGACCCATCTGTGATGTCCTCACTTCCACAGCTGAACAAAGAGCTGGGATTCTGTAAGAGCCACAGCACTTCACATTTCTTACTTCTGATAAGCAGGAATTTCTGTTTCTGATCTGAATAGTAACCCCATTTTGAAGCAAGAGAATGAGCCCTGGACTGAAGAGTGACATGAATATATCAAAAAACCAAGTGGCTGGGAGTATGTAAAACATGTGAACACAACCAGATCTCAGAAGGGCAGAGAGGGAGCCACAGTATTAATAGTGTTTGGGAAACTCTCCCATTGTGGGAGGGTTCTAGGGGGAAACAGAAGTTTATTCCTTACAGACTCTAGGAGGAAATCTTTCTTCTCTCCAACTTGTCACTCTGTCTGTCCTTCAATATGTGAAATGTATTCACTTGCCTTCCGGGGGTGCTGCAGCTCCAGTGGAGGCGAGGTCTTGATCATGTTCTGATGCACTTTGTCATCTGACTTCTGTGAACTTGTTCTTGCTTGACTTCGAGAAGCTTGAGGAGGGCTGGTTTAAAGGGGTCTCTCGCCTCCTCATCTCTCCTTCGGGACTTGATTCCATCGGACGCTCAATTCTTAGTCCATACAGCTCAGAGCTGATGCCTCCTGAGTTCAGCCCTTGAACCCAATGCCAATTCCATCCCCATTTGATGTTCTGAGAAGACCTGATCAGAAGTTGGGGAAACACTGACTGGTCTTTAATTCTGTCTGTCGCCTCAGACCTTGGCTGCTTATTTAACCGCTCAGCCATTTCTTCTGTTCCGCTTTTCGCACACACTCCAGCGATGTGTGTCAGAGCACAGTGGGTTGGACCTACTGTGATTGTTGCTTAGGACAACTGTGTGGACAGTGGACAGAGGGACCCTCCGTTTCATGCCCAGTCCTGTGTCGGGGGCATGTGAATCTCTTAGCTTGGCAGCCGAGGGTAGAGAACGTGGTCCCACGCCAGGGTCCTGTGACATCTGACCCACATGCCTTGTATTGTTTTCCCTCTTAGAATGCCCTTCCTCGTTGGGGAGTGTAGGCGCTTCCTGATTTCACGTGCTTTTAAGTTGTCTTGATTTGCCTCTGATTCTTGCTTTTAAAATACACGTTCCTGGAGTCTGAAATTGTATCGAGTTTCTTTGTTGAAACAGTCCACTTTTATTCGGTGGACACCTTCTGGTGGAGTCTGGAGTGGGTTTGCTGGGTAACAGAGAATTTGTATGGAGAACGCTTTCCCTCATATGTCGCAGTATTTCCTAGGCACATACGGAGTCACCAGCTGGAGCTGCTCGGTGGAGTAGGGAGCACGTGCTAGGTGTGAGGTGGAAGGTATGCTGTGACTGGTAAGTCTTTCCAGTTTTATTTTTTTTCCTGGTTTTGAGGAATGTCACAGCAGCATGTCTTCAGGCCACTGTGACAATGTTGGTCACATAATAATGACTATCTCTTACGAGCCTCGGTACATGGTGCAGGAATTTCTCCTAGGAACAGCATCGTCCAAGTTCTTGTCCTGTATCTGTGATGCTGTTGACTAAATTGTTGGTGCCACATTTATTTTGTCTCCTGAGTGTTCCATAATTCATTCCATCTCAGCAGCAAATCTTAAAGCATCTTAATGAGAGAGCTTATAAAATGGTGTGATACCTTTGGTGATAAGCGATAATTTTTGTTTAAGGCACTGCTGCTTTCATTTTTCATTTTATACATTTCTATGCGTTATATATGGTCTTGATTTTTGTTTATTTAATCATTAGGTCTGTACTTCTGATGCTGTTCTTAGTGTTCTGGTTTATATTTCAATATGTGGGAAGATTGAATTGAGGAGTGACCTCCCATGGTGGAGTTAATGATCAGACCCTTTTAGAGTTCTGTATATATTCTCAGTATTTACCTGTTACAGATACATCATTTGCAAATATTTTCTCCCATCCATAGAGTGTTTTTTCACTTGACTGAGTGTGCTTTGATGCATTAGAGTTTGGAATTTTGATGTTGTCCAATTTATAGTTTTACCTTATGTCCTGTGCTTTCGTTATTATAGCCGATAAGTCATTACTGAATTCAATGTCAATAAGCTATTCCCTTGTTTACTTGTAGGACTTTAATATGTTCAGGTCTTTGATCCATTTTCAGTTAATTTTTGTATATAAGTGTAAGGTAATGTTCCAGCTATATTTTTTGCATATGGATATTTCATTTCCTCAACAACTTTTTTTAAATTCACTGTATAAATTACTTATTTATTCATTTATTGTTATTGAACTATACTTGATTTACAGTATTGTGTTGGTTTCAGGTATACAGCAAAGTGATCCATATATATATTCTTTTTCATATTCTTTTTCATTATAGGTTATTATAAGACATTGAATATAGTTCCCTGTGCTGTACAGTAAATCTTTGTTGTCTATTTTGTATATAGTAGTGTGTATTTGCTAATCCCATGCTCCTAATTTATCCCTCCCCCTCTTTCCCCTTTGGCAACCATGTTTGTTTTCTGTGTCAGTGAGTCTGTTTCTGTTTTGTAAATAAATTCATTTATTTGCGTTTTTTAGATTTCACATGTAAATGTTAATCATGTATCTGTCTTTCTCTGTCTGACTTACTTTACTTAGTGTAATGATCCATAGGTCTGTCCACATTGCTGAAAATGGCAACATTTCATTCTTTTTAATCCTTTCATGTCTCAGTGGACACAGGTTGCTTCCACATCTTGGCTCTTGTAAATAGTGGTGCTGGGAGCATTGAGTTGCATGTATCTCTTCAAATTAGAGTTTTTGTCTTTTCTAGTCACATAAGAATGGGATTGCTGGATCATGGGGTAACCCTATTTTCATTTTTTTTAAGGAACCTTCATAGTGTCCTCCATAGTGGCTGCACCAAGGTACATTCCCACCAACAGCGTAGGACAGGTCCTTTTTCTCCACACCGTCTCCAGCATTTATTACTCGTGGCCTTTTCAGTGATGGCCATCCTGACCGGTGTGAGGTGATACCTCATTGTAGTTTTCATTTGCATTTTCTAACAATTACCGATGTTGAGCATCTTTTCATGTGCCTGTTGGTATGTCTTCTCTGGAGAAATGTTTACTTAGGGTTTCTACCTGTTTGTTGATTGGATTGTTTGTTGATACAGAGCTCTGAGCTTTTTGTATATTTTGGAAATTAAGCCCTGTCAGTCACATCATTTTCACATATTTTCTTCCAGTCCATATGTTTTCTTTTTATTTTGTTGATGGTTTCCTTTCCTGTGCAAAAGCTTGTAAGTTTGATTAGGTCCTATTTGTTTACTTTTGCTTCTGTTTCATTTACCTTGGGAGACTGATCTGAGAAAATGCTGCTACAATATGTCAGAATGTTTTGCCTGTGTCACTTTATAGGAGATTTTTGGTGTCTTGTCTCATCTTTGAGTCTTTAAGCCACTTCGAGTTTAGTTTAATGTGTCGTGTGAGGGAGTGTTCTGACTCCATTGATACACGTGCAGCTGTCCAGTTTTCCCAGCACAGCTTGGCAGAGGGACTGTCTTTTCTGCGTTGTATACTCTTGCCGCTTTTGTTGACAGTTACTTCACTGTAGTTGTGTGGGTTTATTTCTGAGCTTTGTGTTCTGTTTGGGTGATCTATTCTCTTTTTGTCCCAGTGCTATGTTGTGATTACTGTAGCTTTGCAGTATTGTCTGAAGTCTGGGAGGGGTATGCCTCTAACTTTGATTCTTTTTCCTCATTCTTACTTTCTGGGTAATTCTGGGTCTTTTTTGGTTCTATGTAAGTTTTAGGATTATTTGTTCTAGTTCTTTGTAAAATGTCATGGGTAGTTTGCTAGGGACTGCATGACATCTGTAGACTGCTTTGGTAATACGTCCATTTTAACAACGTTAATCCTTCCCACCCAAGAGCATGGGATGGTTTTCGATTTCTTTGGATCATCTTCAGTTTCCTGTATCAGAGTTTCATAGTTCTCAGTGTGTAAGTCTTTCACTTCCTCAGTCAAGTTTATTCCTAAGTTTTTCTTGTTTTTTGTTTGTTGTTTTTTAACGTGATTTTAAAAGGGATTTTTTTTTAACTTTCTCTTTCTGTTGCTTCATTGTTAGCGCAGAGAAACGCAGCAGGCGTCTGTGCACTAGCCTTGCGTCCTGCTGCCTTGCTGAACGTATCAGCTCTAGTAGTTTCTGTGTGGCGTCTTCAGGGTTTTCTATATACAGTCTCACGTCACCTGCTTATACTGATGAAACACAGGCCTGGAAGTGTGACGAGGGCCCTGTCCTTTCTGCTTTAGGCAGAGGAATACGCAGTAATTTGACAGTTCACACGGGGGTTCAACTCAATGTTAATACATCAGAGGCCCAATGAACCACATCACAGACTGTTTACTTACGTGCAGCAGGTGACTGTGGGGAAATTGCCTCAAACTGGCAGCCTGGGTGTGGAGAGGGTGCACCTGGCCGATGGCCTTTTCCGTGGTGGCTGGAAGCCTTCTAGGCAGCAGCCGGCCCACTAGGAGGGAGAGGGGGGTGTTTGTAAACCCTGCTCCCACTGCCATACCCCCCACCACTGAGCCCAGCCCCTTGTCACGAGATCTCAGAGCGGAAGTTGACGTGAGAGATGCGAGCATGTCCTCGGGGCCAGCCCTGCCGGTGGTTCCCACGGCCCTGGAGCCCGGCAGGTGCAGCGTCGCCCCGTGGAGCTCCTCTCTGCCCCACCGCCCCCTCCACGGCCCTGCGGCTCCAGGCTCAGCCTCTGCCCTGACCACTGCACTCTGTTGTCCCCAGACAAGCACGGACCTGTGAGCTGGGTGGTTTTGATTGGCCCCTCTTTATATCTCATTCCTTGCTGCAGGGATCTGCGTTTCTGTCAGTAGTCTGTCTGAATTCCTTTAGCAGCTTTTTTAACCTCCTTCTTGATCTTGGAGTTTGATAGGCTGGACAGGTCTGTTCATTGTTTCAAAATTCATCTCATTCTTTTAACTGTGAGTAGTTCCTCTGCTGCTTCATTTTACTTACAGCCCTCTGAGTGTATGGATTTAGGAGCACCGGTTGTCTGCTGTGGTCCTGAAGGGCTGTTTTATGTGCGAGCATCCCTGAGTGGACCGAGTCCAGTATTCCTGGTGCGAGGGCTGATTTGGTGTGGATGCCTGCGCGTCTTTCATCAGCGTGTGCTGGCTGCCGTCCTCTTGGTGGGTGGTGTGTTTGGTGTTGCGGTGACCAGAGCCTGCACTGGATGTGTGGCAGGGCCTCCTCTTCGCTCGGTGATTGTCACAGCCTGGTCGGGGGCAGGGTCTGCCCCCCAGTTGTTGGAGTAGAAGCCCCCAGATGCAGTGCTAAACCATGGTGTGAAGCAGGCGGGACTGGAGCACCCCTGCTGGGGAAGGAGCTCCTGCGTGTTTCTCCCCCGGAGCTGTCCGATGGGATGTGTGACTAGTGTGACGCCACCCGCCACCCGGAGTGTGTGCCTGCAAAGTCCACTGTCACTGGTGCTGCTCCCAGGCCCACCTCCGCTGCAGCAGAGCTGGTGACCAGCTCCGATCTCAGCCCCGCCTTTGCGTGGGGGAGCCCACAGAGTCCGCTGCGGCTGGAGCCGTCCTCACATGCTCCTCTGGTGACGCGTGCACACTCTGAACACCTCTCACGTGTGTGGCCCAGAGCCCGCGACGGCTGGAGCCATGCCCCACTGTCAGCGCACCCACGCCCTCCTTTGTGCATTGATAATGGGGCTCCTATGGTGGTCCCTCGCTCTGTCCTGTGCACACCCCCAGTTGAAGCCCCTCCATCACACTCCAGGACCTTCCAGGCTGTCTCCACACAGCCCAACCCAGTCCTCTCATCGAGTCTCTCTGCTAAAGCCCAGGTTGCCACTCCAGTCACGACTGGGCTGGGAAGTGCGGCGATGTCTCAAGACCCGTCTGCGCTGCTCTCTCTCTCCGCTGCCTGGCCACGAGCCAGCTCCTGCGGGCGCCTCACGCCTCCAAAGCTCCCTCCCCGTCCCGGCAGACCTGTCAGCCAGGGGAGGAGTTTCCTCTTTCACAGCTCCCTCCTGGACATGCAGTTCCCATCCCTTTGTCCTAACCGGTCATGTAGTGATCGATCTTGCAGCTTTGGTTGTATGAGATCTTCTGTAAGCTTTCGGTGGTGGTTCTGCGGGAATTGTCACATGTGGGGACGTGGTTTTGATCTGTTTGTGGGAGGAGGCGGGCTCAGGATCCTTCTCCTCCTCTCAGCACAGCTCAGTAGGCTGGCCTTTCCCCGCTGAGTGGTCCTGACACCCTGCGGAACGTCACTGGACCACATAGACACGAGTTCATTTCTGATGTCTCTGTTCTGTTGCACTAGTGTCTGTGTATGCCAGTGCCACACTGCTCTGATTGAGTGTTGTGATAATTTTGAAATAATTGTGAGACCTCTGGCTTTTTTCTTTTCAGTCTTGTTTTTGCTACTGAGAATCTTTTGAGATTGCCTACGAAGCTTAGGACGGACTTACCTGTTTCTTCAAGAAAAACTATTGGGATTTTGCCAAGGATTGTGTTGAGTCTGTTCATCACTTTGGGTGGTATTGACATCTTGACAATATTGTCTTCCAGTCCGTGAACTTGGGATATCTTCGCATTTATTGGTGTCTTTCCTAATATTTTTTGCCCGTGTATTTAGGTAACAGTGTCAAAATGTTTCCCTGCTTAGATGAAGTTACACCCATTATTTTATTTTCATCTTGTATTTTTCTGAATTCATTCATAATTTCCAGCAAGGATTTTTTTGTGGAATCTTCTGTTTTCTCTACAGTTTAGATCATGTTGGTTGTAAACAGAGAAAGTTCTTCTTTTTTCTATTTGGGTATCTTTTATTTTTATTTCTGCCTATTTGTTCTTACTAGAACCTCTAGTAATATGTTTTTAGAAATAGAGAACGCTGGTATCCTTGTCCTGTTTCTGATCTTAGAGGAAAAGTTTTCCGTCTTTTACCATTGAGTGTGGTGTTACTAGCTGTGGACTTTAACATATGTCCTTTACTGTGTCGGTTGTTTCTTTCTATTCTTAGTTTATTGAGTATTTGTATCAAGCAAGGCTGTTGACTTTTCTCAAATGCTTTTTCTCCTTCACTTGAGATGATCGTGTATTTCTGTGTCATTGTGTTAAGATGCTCTTTTACGTTGGAAGGTTTTCAGATGTTGAAAGGCCTGTTGGTTGGTTTGTTTGCTTATCTAAGTGGAGGTACCAGGACCTCGTGCGTGTTAAGCACGTGCTCTACCGCTGAGCTCTACCCACTCCCTCTTCTTTTTTTCTGCAAGGAGGGAGGTAATTAGGTTTATTTGTTTATTTACTGGAGGTCCTGGGCATTGAACCCAGGACCTTGTGCATGCTGAGCACACGCTCTGCCACTGAGCTCTGCCCTCCCCCCCTCTTGTCCTTTGCTCTCAGTATTTCAGTGGTTCTCACGCAGGGACGTTCCCTCAGGGGTGCGGCACAGGCCGTGCTTTCGCAGGCCCATCACTCCCTGTGCTGCGCTCTGTCCCTGTCCCATGCCTGGCCTTCCCTGACGTGACACCTCAGTGCGGATGGACACACCGCTACTTCCTACCGTGTTTAAGTCGATTCTCGTGAGTTCCCCGGTTCCCGCAGCCCTCCCTCACGCATCCCTACACCTTCGCAGGCTGCCTACCCTGTCAGAGTCACCCTTCGTCGTCCACTGAACAGCTTTCTCAGGACACAAGCTGAATCCACCGTGATGACTCAGAAACTGTCTCCAGGAGGGGAGGGGCGGCTGAGTAACGTGAGCTGCACATCTCCCTCCTTGATCCTCTGTTGCAGTTTTCTTCCTAGACTCCTGCTTTTTTGCTGTAGTTTCTCGTAATCCGTCCTGCCTGGGTGGGCAGCCATGAGACTATGCCGTCTAAGTCTGCAGGTCCAGGTTCCAGTCCTGCTGCCCCACTGCTTGCATGTGAGTTGGAGCTACATTCATGCAACTTGTGAGATTAGTGCCCCTATTTGAAAAATCGTGGTTAATTTATCTCAAGCCTTTTAAAACGCACGAGTGTTGTTAGGTGGCTTAGAATAGTGTATTTTCTACAGTGAAAAGACTCAGAAGTTCATTTTGTAGGAAAAGACACATTAACGTGCTTTCATGTTTATCATGAACTATCCCATTGTCTACACTGCATCTTGTGTGTTTTTATTTTGCAGTTTGTTCTCAGCCACGTTGTGCCTGACCCTAGTCAGTCAATTTATTAGTAAGTGATCGCTTTGTATTAGGCACGTTTGGAATCAATGAGATGGATAATGTAAGGGTCATGTAGTGATGGGTCTCCTGATTGGCTGCTGTGTAACTGGAGAATATTTTATTTAATAATTTTAAATTGTGGTTTACAAATGATTGCCTTTCAACATATTATGCAGTACAGTTGATATGGATCACTTGTTAATGTTGTTAAATGCCTATTCTTCATGGGTACAGAGTTTTGTTAACATATTTAGAAACATTTTGCTTAAGAGTTGTTTTAACAAATTCCTCATTTTCTCTGTGCTTTATTTGCTTTGCAGTTTCAAACTGCCCATTATTTAGGTAAGTTATATTAGATAAGCTTGTTTTGGTTTCTTTACTGTTAGGATACATTGCTTGTACTTTAGCATGTATTTATGCACAATAAGTCTGCAGAACACATGTGTAGTACAATATTCTTTCTCTGCAGCGTGTTTACTTTCAAAAGGTATGTGCTCTGGGGTGTGGTGGAAAAATACCCTTTCTCTGAGAGCTAACATGAGTCAGCACAGTGTGAATGTTTTTGTCATAGGGTGCTTGAAACTAGACAGTCCTTAAGTTAATTAGATTTACATGTGACTATTTTTTATTAAAGAACACTACTCCATTCGTGTCCCTGAGAATTTTAGATTATGATTGGGAAGCTTTGTGACTGCTCAGTGTAAGTATTACTTTTGGTGTAATATCATGTATTCAGCCTGAAACCTTTATTAATGAATTGTGATAAACAAGATACCTATTTTTTTCATATCTTACAGATATCTCTCATATACATGTGATCAGGAAATTTCAACCACAAATATACAGTGATACAGAAGTATTCCAAACAGTCATGTTGAAAATACTTGGAGGGCATGAATTCCAGCATTCTTACTCCAGGGAAATCCTGGAAAATATGTTGTATGACTTGGAGTGTCAGTGGGGAGATGACAAAAGAAGTAACAAAGTAGTGCCTTGAACCCGTAATGAAAATCCCACTGATCGAAGGTGTCAACAAGGTAAAAGTGATGAAGGAGCTGAGCCTCTTGAAAATAAGCATGAATTAAGATTTCAGGATAAACTGCAGGTACCTCAAGCTGAAGGAATAATTTATGAATGTGATGAAGTGGAGAAGTTGATAAACAGTAGTTTCTCATTTTCACCACTTCAAGGAATTCCTCTTAGTGTCCAAACCAACATTTCTAATTTGTATGGGAATGATATGCATCCGTCACTACAGACACAAGGTCAGAAAGCACACAGGAAAAGACCTTATAAATGTAAGGAGTTTGGCAAAACCTTTTGTTGGAGGTCTGGCCTCAGTAGACATCAAAACATCCACAAAGGAGAGAAATCATATGTGTGTGAATGATGTGGCAAAGCCTTTAATCGAAATTCACATCTTGTGATTCATCTGAGAATTCATACTGGGGAGAAGCCATACGAATGTATTGAGTGTGGCAAGGCCTTCGGTGTGCATCTGTCCTTAACTGAGCATCAGGTAATCCATACAGCAGAAAGACCATATCAGTGTCATGTCTGTGGCAGGTGTGTTGGTCGCAGGTCACAGCTTGCATATCATCATAAATTTCATACTGGAGAGAAACTTTACACATGTCGTAAGTGTGGCAAAACCTTTTATCAGCGCTCACACCTCACTGAACATAAAAAAATCCACTCAAGGGAGAAATTATATAAATGTGATACATGTAGCAAAGTGCTTAGTCAAAATTCACAACTTGCGATTCATCAGAGAATTCATACTGGTGAGAAACCTTACAAATGTAAGGACTGTGGCAAAACCTTTTCTTGGAAGTCTTCCCTCAATAGACAGCGAATAAGCCACACAGGAGAGAAATTTCATAAATGTGAAGAATGTGGCAAAGCCTTTAATCGAAATTCAGATCTTGTGCTTCATCAGAGAACTCATACTGGAGAGAAGCCTTACAAATGTAAGGAGTGTGGCAAGGCCTTCAGACAAACAGGAGCCCTTGCAAACCACTGAAGAACGCGTACGGGAGAGAAAGCTTACAAGTGTGTATAATTGAGTGTGGCAGATGCTTCCGTGTGCTTTCAAGCCTAATTTACTGTCAGGAAATCCACGCTGCCGAGAGACTTTAAAAATGTAATGAATGTGACAAGGCTTTTCGCAGATGTTCACAGTTGACACTTCATGAGATAATTCATCTCTGGGTAGAAGCCAGGTAAAGGTATTTAGTGTGATGAAGCCTTAAGAAGAGGAATTCATTTGCCAAATCATTCATTCAGGAGATTACCTCACAGATAACCATGTTATGTGAAAAACCTTTACTTGGAGTTCACGTCTCACCAGTCATCAGAGAATTCATACTGGACAGAACGTTACATATGCACCGAATGTGGAAAGGTTTTAGGCTGAGCCTTGAACTCAGGCTTCACCAAATACTTCATACTTAAAAATGGAACGAATGCGGCAAAGTGTCAAATTATTGTTCACTTGTCACTAGGTACAAGAATACTTATCCTGGACAAAAACTACACTAATGTGTGGGTCAAGGATTGGAACAAAGATCCCAGGTTGGGGAACATGCTGGAGCAACACTTTACAAATGCAGTGAGTGCAGACCTTGACTCGTGTTCAAGTACTGTGCAAGCACGGAGAGTCCCCATTGAAGAGAACGGAAAAAATACGGGCAGAGGCTTTAGCCAGGTCTCACAATGGGCTAGACTTCACAATGTATTTTTTCTTTAACAGTTTTTTACATTTTTACATAAAAATGTATATTTTTGAGAGACAGCCCATGATAGCAGTATGTATGCTAAGACTTGTATCTGAGGATCAAAACTGGAACGTAGAGAATTTATGTTGAAAAGTAAGCTTACCAATTTAATGAATGTTTTAAATTTTTTCATGAAGTACCTGCACCTTTGGCATAATGAGAGAATCCACGCAGGGCAGAAACTATACATGTATACTGGACATGAGACACCTTTAGGAGATGGTATGTCCTCATGTTTTGCCAGAGAACTCACATTGGGGGAATCCTTACAAATAGAATGAATTTGTAAATTTTCTGAGCAGTTTTTACAACCAGCCACACATCAGAGAATCCAAAGTAGGGATAAAAGTCTCTGGTGGTCAGAGATGAGGTTGCAGTGGTACATACTGCAGAATCGTTACAAGTCACACTGTGCCAGGATTGATGACATGTGTATGGCAGATAAGGACGTGTGAGGAAATAGCGCGCATCTTCAGTGTATAAGTATTTATTTATTTGAGTTTTCTTTAAAAGGCTACATTACTATTAATGCCTTTACGCCTGAAATTTGAAGTCTTGATCTTACTTACTTCATTACAGGCTTTTCATGATCTTTGGGAAGGAATGGATGAAGGGGCTGACTTCACTGGGTGTGGTTAGTTCACATCCATGTTCCCTGGAAAAACAAGGACCCTGAGTTACCAAGTTTTATGCGAATTAGCATCAGAGAGGGGCAGAGACCAAGGTAAAGCTGACGTGATTCACCTGCTTGCTGTGTTCAGGTGCCCTCTGTGGAGAGGCCACTGTGGGTTCCAGGACAGGGCGCTCTGCCACCTGACTGTGAACAGAGCGGGCAGGGCGCTCGGGGACTGGGGGTTTTCATGGGAGGAGAGGGGCCCGTTCCCAGGGCTTGGTGATCTGGTAGGCATGTTGCAGGGGAAGTGTGGGTCACTTTGTCCATTGAAGAGAAGCTGCTGTATATTGTTGGTGTCACGATACCATGTGCGCACACACACCGTAGGCGGAGAGAGCCGATGGCTACTCTGAAGCTTTGTTAAGTTGCACAGTCTTATATAGCAAAGAAGAATGACAAGGGAAGTGGTTAACAGGCAGCGTCTGGCTCAAGGTCAGAAGACCCTTTATGTTTCGGTAAATCATGTTCGTGTTGGCACCAGCGAGCCTTACAGCTTATCAGGGTCGGACGTGTGAGAAACGGCTGCTTCACAACGTTCTTCTTGGACTCAGGTGGCTGTGCCTGTCTTAGGTCGCCCCCCTCTGGGGGTCTCACCCGTCCCGGGCTACCCAGCCTTCTCACCTCTGAGCTGCAGCTTTTTATAACTTGTTTACCATTCCGTCCCAAGGCTCGGTCCTTGGTTCCCACAGTCGGGGGCCTACATATATATCTATGATTAATGAAAAATTAGCCTTATTTTTGGAAATTGGAAAGAAATTATCTTAAGAGGAAGTTTTAGTCAAAGGAGCCAGAATATCTGTATGTGTGTAGTTCACATTTAAGTGGTGTTATTATATCTTGCTGCTGTTTTATTCAGAATGTATCACAGGTCTCATGTTTTAATTAATAAAATGGAATCACTGTGTTCATACCCCGGGGTGAATCCCGTCACTCCAGCACAGTTTTATCCCCCTCGGCTCTGTCTAACAGAAGCTAATGGTGCACCTCTAGGCTGTCAGGGTTGAAAGAATCTATAGTTTCTTTTTATGCTGGAGTCAAAGAACATACAATTTGGGGATTCTATATTCATAGTTTGTATTTGAGTTACTCTCTCTAAACTGCTCCAGAATATTTCTGTGGCTAAATGAAAATGCCATAGCAGTGCAGCTTCAGGCTCTTGGCTTCTATTCAGATACAGAAATTGAACTGAGTAGATGTAAAGATCAGATTAGCTCTTGAGTGATTCATGTATCAGGCTGCATCCCATCTACTAAATAAACAGATGCCTAAAGGTGCTGTACAAAATGGAAAGCTTTTGTACGCAGAACCTGGGTTGGATGGAAAAAGTTATTACTTAAAAAAAAATTGTTTCAAGCAAGGTCACCTTTTGGGGGGAAAGGAGGGGAAAGGTAGATTACCTCACTGGTGTTGATCAAGAAATTTCAGAGTAATTGCTTTAAGGTCACATTCCTGGGAGGGATGAAATTGAAATTAAATCTTGGTTCATTGTCCTCAGGGCAAGTGACTTTGTTTTAATATCCCCTAAACCCTGCCCTCCATTCGTGAGTATGCACTCTGAATGTATTTCTTCATGCCTTTTGTGTGTGTGTGTGTTCAAATAAAATGCATGGTGCGCACCTCAGTTTACATGAACTCAAAATAGGAATGTAGTAAGCGTATGGAAAATACTAGAAAATTTTAAAATTTCAGAAATAAGGATGAAGTTAATCTCTCTTTTTTGCTTGAATTGCTCAGTTAATTTGAAAAGATCGATATTCATGAGTTTACTGTTAAAAAATATTCAGTGGTAACTTTTTAATAGATAAACTAGAGATTTCTTACGTTCACTACCTACACTGCCTTTGTTGTTGAGTACTTGGCACTTGTGACCATTCACTGGAATAGGGTGGAACGCTCCCCAAAGTTTGCCTAAGTTATTGAGACTGATACTAATGTTGAATTGTTGTGAGAATGTTTGCTTCATGATTCAGCTTTCAGGGGAACTGGGGAGACTTCGAAGCTGTTCAGAAAATTGTTTTAGAGAACAGGGCTTCCTGGGTTATGGTGGTTACTGGGTGGGGCTTGTGGGAGAAAAACATGCTTACAGGTTGGACTTCAAGTTGGTGGTGTGACCCAGATTATGTTTAATTTACATTTTTTGTCTTTAACACCAAAGGATCCAAAGAACAATGGGTGGTTTGGAGAGCCTTGTGACATGAACATGCACATCAGGCAATGTCCAGTTCACAGTGGGTGCACTAGAAACTGGAAGAAAGAGTTGCCTTCGGTCTTTGGTTCAGTGGAATAATTGGAGTGGCATGATGGCGAACTGACCTTTTAACGTGGGAGTTGGCTACAGTCAGGTAATTGAAAATCAAATACGTGGAGTTTAACAAGCATGCTTTGAAGTAAATGAAACTACAATGATGAATAAGATAGAAAGTCCCCGAGGTTCCACCTGCAGTTTGTGACAAGGAGACAGTCATTGCAGATGCCGGTCGGCCGTTCTGCCATTTCTCAGGGACCAGAATGCGCATTCAGAGCCTGGAGAGTCTTGCAGGGAAAATGAGGATGGTGTTACTTTGTCCGTGGCAGCTGACACCCGACAGCCTCCACTTAGAATTTGTTCCCATCCAAAAATGGTTAATATATTTAATGTGTATTTAAAAAAAATCACTTCACGACGTGATCTTAGTTTGGGTATTTTCCATAGCACAGTTTGAGTGAGTCATGTTAAATGCTTTGTTCATAATAACTTACTGAATTTTGATCTGAAAAAAGTACTGATGTTTATTCTCATGTCACAAACCAGGGGTATTAGGACTTCTAGTTATCTCCTCAGACTCAGGCCTTGTCTCAGGGTTATTCCTCCCACCTCAGTGTCTCTGCCACTGGACTAGTTTCTACTCCAGAAACACTCTGAGATGTGCTCACTTATGCCCCTGCCTCTCAGCCTGAAATAGGCAAACACTCACCCAATCTCTTCCCGCTGCTGGGACCGTGGGCTGAGTGTGATGTACCAAGTGTGTGGGGGCAGGTGTCCACCCGGGACCTGAGATGCGTCTGCAGTTCTGACATCGTCTCTTAGAACTGCGATTTCAGTTCAAATGTAGTGACATTGACCATGCACGCGTGGTCAGGTGAGAATCTTCTGAAAACCTATGTTCCCATTTGCCAGTTCCTGCAATTACATGTTCCTAATGAACATCACAAGAGTGCAGGACTCTTCCGTGAGCCCTTAAAGATGACGGGGTTTAATGTGGAGGAAACAGAAAACTCTGAGGCATCACACTTGCTGAATGGTGATGCTGAAAATAATTTCGTTTGCCTGTTTTCTCACTGTATGTGCGTGACTGAAATGCTTATTGATGTTTTTGCCCATTTTCTAATTCAATTTCCATTTTTACTGTCATGGATCTCGAACTCCTTATACATTCTATGTGTCACTCCCTTGGAAGATACATGGTATGCAAATATTTTCTATTATTATGTAGCTTTTTTTTTTAAGAACCAGTAACTTTATTGGAAGAAACGTTAACACTGAAAGAAGAAAAACTTAAGTGAACATTTTTTGTTGCAAGGGCAATATTGCTGTATGCATGCCAGGCAGGGTGAACTCGGAAAGTCACCCTTATTATGTAGCTTTTTGAAAAAACTTAACATGGTTTTTCACAAACCAAAGTTTTTTTACGTTTTGTTGAATTCCAGTGTATCTTTTTTCTCTCTCTTATGAATCATGTTTCTGGTGCCATATCCAAGAACTCTCTACCAAGTCCTAGAGCCTGGTTTTTATTCTAGAATGTCTTTCCTAAATATCTTATACTTTAAAGTTTTATACTTGTACATTTCAGGCTGTGATTAACTTGAAGCTAATTTTTGTACATGTGTGAAATTTAATTGGAGATTCTCCCCCCCCCCCATATAAGTATTCCACTTATTTATGACTATTTCTTTTGAAACCCTACCTTCATTATGTTACCTTAGCATTTTAGTCAAAAAAGCAGTTGAAAGTACAGTCAACCCTTAAACAATGCAGCGGGTTAGCGGCGCTGACCCCCAGGCAGTGGGAAACCCACGGATAACTTTGTGCTCAGCCCTCTGTGCCCAGTTTGGCACGTGCAGATTCAGTCACGCTCAGATCCTGTAGTACTGTAGTATTTATTGGGGGAAAAAATGCATGTGTAAGTGAACCTGCGCAGCTCACGCTGGTGGTGTTCGAGGGTCAACTGTGTTGTGTTTGGCTGGTTTTTGTTTCTCCATTCTGTTCGACTGGGCTATGTGCCTGTCACTCCACCAGCACCACAGTCGATTACCATCATTATATTAGGATTCTTGAGATTATGTGGAGTGATTCCAACCATTTCAGTATTTTTCAGATACTTTAGTGCTTCTAGTTTTCTTGCTTTCCATATTGACCTTAGAATAATCATGTCTACAAAAAAACTTGATAGGAAATGCATTAAACCTGAAAATTTGGGATGATTGGTATCATTTCTTGTGTCGTCGATCAATGAATATGGTCTTTAACAGTTCAGTGAAAATGGTGTTTCATTTAAATGACTAAAACATCATCTTTGATTTCCTTCATTACCATTTTGTAGTTTTCAGCATAAAAGACCACATTTTATTAGAATTATACCCTGGGTGTCAGATGTTCAGCCCCTACTCAACAGATGACTAAAGAGAAATGTTAAATGGAGAGACTCATTACTCAGATCCGGAAGGAGCTACGAGGCACACCTTGAAGGGCCAGGTAAGAGTTCAGGGCAGGATGCAACAAACATGGGGCAAGACCTGGGGCATGTTGGGATCCGTGGATGGAGTGCTTTGGGGCCCCAGGTGTAAGAGGCTGGATTGGTCAATTTAAACCAAAAAAGTAAGGACTGGTAACCGTCAGGAGGGGAACGGGGTCTTACCTAAAGTAGGACAAGGAGAAGGCCCTTGGTGACAGGAGGTTGGGGGGGGGGCGGGCAGGAATGGTCATGAAAGGGCAGTTGGGAGTCACATCAGGAACCTTACTTGCTGTAACTCCATGGCTATTACCTAGGGCGTGCGGTGAAGGGAGAGGTCAGCTTAAGACCCTGCAAGGCCTCTTGGCTCCACAGAATAGGTGCTGGGGCAGCAATATTATAAACTTAAGTGCCAACAGTCACCAGCTGTGACTGCGGATTTCTTTTATCGGTGGAGAGGGGGGTTTAAAATTACAAATTCACTCCACAATTCAAAGTATTTATCCAAATGATCTCTTTCACATGGGCCATTCGTGGTAGGTTGTATGTTTAGAGGAACTGGCCCATTTGATTTTAGTTGCCAGATGTATGTATATGTGTTTTTGTAATAGTCTTGCTCTTCTTCTGGTGTCTAAAGGTTTTAGTAATACTTGGTTTCATTTGATGTTAGCAATACGTGTTTTCTCTTATTGCCTTGGGTAGTTTTGCTAGTGGGTTGTCAATTTTATTGACCTTTTCAGTGAGCCAGCTCTTCTTTTCGTTTCTCTATTGTTTTCCAATTTTATTTTCATCCTTACCTTTATATCCTTCCACATCATTTTTCATTCTTTTTTCCCCTGACATCTTAACTGCAACTTAGATTACTGTTGGATGTTAATTCCTCTTTTCTAATACACATGTATGCTCTAAAGATCCCTCTCAGTATGACTTCAGTTACATTTAACAAAGTTTGACATGTTCTATTTTTATTTTCTTTCAGCCTGTTGTGTTTCACTTGAGTTTCCCTCTTTGACCTGTGGATTTTTAAAAGGTAGGTGGTTTCATTTTACGGCGTTGGAGACTTCCCAGCAAACTTTTTGACTTGGGGCTGAATTTCATTGTAGGCCATGGACACTGATTTCCATGTTACTAAATTTGTTGAGTAGCTTTTGGCCCAGGATGAGACCTGTTTTGAGACATGCTTTTGAAAACAATGTGTGATCTGTTTTTGAGTGGTGTCCTGAAAATCAGGCCCCAGGATTTGGTGGTGGTGCTGAATTCACCCGTGTCCTGCTGTTTCCCGTGTCATCGTTCGGTCAGGTATTGAGAGACGTTGTCTCAGCTGTGCTGGGGGGTCTGCGGGTTCTTCCAGGCCTGTCGGTTGTCGCGTCACGTGCTTTGCAGCTGCTCCCTGCTGTGCGCGTACTTAGGACGCCTAGTCATTATGGTGGACTGACCCTTTATCATTGTGTCATTTGTTCTTTCTCTTTAGTAATTTTATTTTCTTTGAAACCTGTTTTATCTGCTAGTAAGACAGACACTCCTGCTCTCCTGTGGTTGATGCTTTACGTGGCATATAGCTTTCCCTTTTATTGACATTGTGGGGCAGAGATTCCTTTGTTGTGTGAAGCTGCGCCATGACTAGGGGTGTTTACCAGCAGCACCACTCCAGCTGTGAAACAAAACGTGTCTCCACATATTTGCACGGGTTTCCTGTGAGAGAGTGATCACCCCTGGACGTGCCTTCCGCCAATGCAGAGATCAGGAAAGCAAAAGACAGTTACATGGCATTTGGTTTTCAACTGCTTTTACACATTACAACCTAGACTTCACATCATAAATAACAAGCAGAATTAATGGTTGTAACTGTGTCTCGTGTCCCACTGATAAAACTTACCATTAAGGAATATTTTGAGGGTCATAGGGAAGTTAAGTCTAAATTCATGGCACAGCCTAAGTGAAGGACATGGCCCTAATGCCTTTTGAAGTAACCCGTTAGGTGATTATACTTTATTAGCTGTAACTAGGCTAAGCGAAGGACAGTGAGACACAAAATACTGGATTATCCGTTCTCAGAGGAAAAGATGAAGCCAAAAAAAGATCAGTCCCCACTCCAGGCCCCATGGAATGGGACCTGACGACACCTGCTCAGGAAAACTGCACGTCTGCTATAGACCAAGCACTGCGGGCCTGCCCCTCCCTCTCTGAATGGGGGGCTTACTGAGGTCCTCTTTCTCTGGTCCAGGATGTGTTACGAGCAAGGAGGATGTCACACAGGACTCTGAATCAAGAGGAACCTCATGTTTGGGTAAAACTTTTTTTTCTTTCCTTTGGGTCAAGGATAAACGTATTTTGTGCAAAGGACAGACATTTTGATAGAAGCTGCACTAACATATCTAGTAATATTATCTCCAACTGATTACCAAAGCTGCTCTGAGATGATACATGTCTGCCCTTGGGTATCAGGCTGGCCACTCAGGCAACCCTTCCTTCCCCTTGACGAGACTGTCTTAGGGCAGGTGAGGCTTTGTGAGCTCCTGGCCAGTCTGGGGTGTGCAGAATGGCATGTTTCAACTCTTCAGTGGCAGCTTTCCAACTCTTTGTTGCTTCATCTGACCCTCTCTTCTGCTTCAAGATGGTCTTAGATAAACTGGAAATTTACCCTGGATCACAGAATTAAATTATAGAACCAAGCAAGAGGAGAGTAATGATGGATATGAGGAAGAAATAAAATGCTGCTGTAAGCCAATGAGGACTCAGGGCTGTCACGACAGCAAGCCTTCTAGAAAGCTGACTGGTACACCTTCAGTGGCCCTTTCTGTCCTTACCCAGCCTAACCTCCCGCAGTCCAGGCTGCAGACGCGAGCACACGGTCTCCAGTGACCGTTCTGCCTTTCACTTATCATGGCAGTGACAGTGCCACAAAATAGTGACATTAACAGGCTTCAAACTTCAGGCGATATATCATTAATAACAACGTAGCCTTTTCAAGAAACCTCAAATAATTGAATAAAACATTTTACAAACTGCAGATAATTAGATCTTTGAACAGCTGTCCCTCCATTGATAGACATGAGTTCTAAGTTGTAATTCTCTGTGGAATTTAGTATGTGAGGTTAGTCAGTCTTCAAAAGCTAGAGGCTTGGTTCCCAGCAGTATGAATTTCCTTATGTGGAGTCCACTGAGAGGATCCACTGAACAGCCTATGCACCTGCATTACAGGTGTAATGTTTCTGTCCACTGTGACTTCTTTGTGGTGTATCCCAAGGTCACTGCTTAAAAGCCTGGACACATTTGTATGGTTTCTATCTGATATGAACTCTTCCATAACCTCAGAGATGATTCTGATAAAGCTCATCACTCTTTGTGTGGTCTCTCTCTAGTAAGAATTATGTTCCACGAGGCTTAAACTTTGGATAAGCGTTGCCACACGTTACATTGGTTTGGTGGTTCTCAAAGATGTATATTCTGGCATCACTTAAGGCATGAGCCCTGGTTACAGACTGTTCCACATGCATTAATTTTATGTGGCTTATCTCTACAATGGAGTCTTTTTTTTTTTTAATATAATTGGTTGGTGTTCACCATCATTACTTTTGGCTGTACCACACACGGTAACATTTGTCTTAAAAATCTGTCCTCAAAGTTAACATAGTTTTGAACATATAGCTTACACCATGGGGGTGTAATACACAGCATATCTATCGTATGCCTAGAGATTTGTACTTCTTAGCCCCTCTCAGCTACTTCACCTACCACCGCACTGTCGTCCCTTCTGGCAGCCACCACCCACTTGCCCTTCATATCTATGAATGTTTTCATTCTTTTGTTTCTTAGATTCCACTTGTGAGAGAGATCATTTGGTATTTGTCTTTCTAGTCTGACTGACTTCACTTAGCATAATATCATCTCCATCCATGTTGTTGCAAGTGGCTAGACATCTTTAAGCTGAGTAATACTCCATTTTGTGTGTATACATGTATACATAATATATATATCCCATTTCTTCTAACCATTCATCTACCGATGGACACTTCCGCTGCTTCTATTTCTTGTCTACTGGAAATAATGCTGCAGAGAATATTCAAGTGCCTGTATCTTCTCAAATTAGTGTTTTTGTTTTCTTCCAGTAAACAGCCAGAAGTACAATACTTGGCCCACATGACAGGCTGTTTAATTTTTGAGGAACTTCCATGTTTTCCATAGTTGTTGCACCAACTTACAATCCCAGCAGCTGTGCCCAGGGCTCCCTTTTGTCCGCATCCTTGCTGAGCCTTGTTCTGACCACAGCCCTGTGAACAGGTGTGAGGTGGTGTCTCACCGGGGCTTTGGTTTGCATTTCCCTGATCAGTGGTGCTGAGCTTTTCCCGTGTCTTCTGGCCATGTCTTTTCTCCCTCATGGAGTCCCGTAGGTTAAGACTTGAATATACATATAAATTCTGTCTGAATCATTTTCTTTTTAAGGTTTGTTTCTGAATCATTTTCTTTTTAAGGTTTGTTTCTACTAGGGAATATCTGATGCGCCCTATACCTTGAGCTCTGAGTAAAAGCACTGCCACATACATGGGGCTTGTGTTCCCTCTCAGTGTGCGCTTTCAGGTGCCTAGTAAGGCTTGCAAACTGGGTGTAAGCTTTGCCACACTCACGACATTTGTAAGGTTTCTCTCCAGTATGGATTGTTTTATGTTGAGTAAGATATGAATGTCTTGTAAGGGCTTTGCCACACTCATCACATTTGTAAGGTTTCTCTCCAGTGTGAGTTCTCTCGTGACCCCAAAGTTGCGACCGCTCAGTGAAAGCCTTACCGCATTTATTACACGCATAGGGTTTTTCTCCCGTGTGAATTCTGCGGTGTACCAGGAGGTTTGAACGTTGGGTAAAGTGCTTGCCACATTCGTTACATTTGTGTGGTTTCTCTCCAGCGTGCATTTTCTGATGTCTAGTCAGGTGTGAAAACTGGGTAAAAGCTTTGCCACATTCGTCACATTTGTAAGGCTTCTCTCCAGTGTGCATTCTCTGATGATTTGCAAGGTGTGAGTTTCGACTAAAGACCTTGCCACATACATCACATTTGTATGATTTCTCTTCTGGGTGCACGCTCTGGTGTGTAGTGAGGTGTGAACACTGGTTGAAGGCGTTACCACACTCATTACATCTATAGGGCCTCTGTGCAGAATGAAGTCTCTCGCGATTTGTAAGGTTTGGTCTTTTGCAAAAAGCCTTCCCACAGTCACTGCAGTTGTGAGATTTATCTCTAGTGTGTGTTCTCCTGTCTGGTGCAGGTAGCAAGATGTTTTTCATATTACGAGGATTTCTTTTAAGTGAAACTGAGGAACCGCCGTTGATTGACTTCTCACCTTGACTGTATTCATACATTGTCTCCTCAGTCGGGAGTCCCTGCAGTGCAGCCGCCTGGGCCTGCAAACTTACTCCAGTTCTGCTTTCCAGACAGTTCCTGTATGTGCTTCCCGCCATGCTTATGCTGTGTTTCATTTCTAACAAGTTTCTCTTGAATGGCTTATCATGCGTGAGATATTCACACGTATTACTTTTTACAGAAACACACTGAGGAAAGCTGATGAAGGATTTGTCATCCTGATCGTCTCTGTGAGTGAGAGTTCGGCTGAGGGTCAGAGGCGTTTCTTTGTGATTTCTTGCATCACATCGCCACACGCGCTTACACTCGTGCATATTTTCCGAGATTTCTTTGAGGTCAGAATCCTCGATGCCATGGCTTTCCTTTCTTTCCAGTATCACTAGATGGTATAATTCTCCTTTATGAATGTCTTCTTTTGGTAATAATTCCTTGATTGCCAATCCAGCAGAATGGCTTCCTATTATGGAGTTAAAAAATAAATATATCAAATAACAGTTAAAAAATAATATGGTGAACACAGAAGTTTCTCAAGCATGGTCTTCAAACACTACTGTGATGTACCTTTTTTCAGTTTTCTTTTTTCCATATTAATGTTTCTCTGTCTTCTTTCTTAGATAATAAAATGTCAAGCACACACTAGATAATATATTTTTTGGCCACATAAATGGATAATTAAATTATACTCCATAATTAGAAAGTTTATCTATGTACAAGCTTACAGAACTGTCTTCCCTAATCCTTAATCTTTATAATGTGTTTAATATGTAAATATGATGCAAGAAAAAAAATTCTTTAAATCGGTACATCACAATAGTAACTGGTGAAAGATTTTTGTAACCCGTGATAAATCTAGGAGGTAAATTACTAAGTAACTACAATTATGAAAATGGTTTCTGGAATTCTAAAAGATTCTTTTATAAGTACCAAAAAAATTTTTTTCTTTCTGGAAGGAACACACAATAGGAAAAAAATAAAATGTTAAAAAGGACTGAATTTTGAGATATCTGTTTCATATCTGTTTCAGGTAAACAGACATATGTATATTTAAGAATCAGGGAAAATTGCTGGAATCTCAATCATGATTTCATGCCTACAGGACTGTAACAGCCAGTGCGTAGTTCAGCTACCTGACTATGGGGTATCGTTTAATTATCTAGTAATATGGCAAGTATGTGTGTGGTCTGTACACACACCACATATAGATAGTGTATAATGCATGATGCGAAAATTTGCCATCTAAGGTCAGGGAGAATATTTACGTGGAAAAAAGAATTACATAAAGACAGCCAAAATACAACACAGGCCAAGGTCAATCTTATAATAAACATGACCAAAAAA